TAAACCCTAAACCCTAAACTGTGGCGGGTTGTCTACACTTCGCTCGAGCTTTCAATCCCGAACCTCCTATCTCCCAGCCCTTCATCGGAAATCCTATGGACTTAACAAAGTATAACAAGGACCCCCCAAAAAAATAGTATATGTAATTCTTTAGGCCCCTTTAAAAGGGGCCTAAACACGGTTCAGGGTTTAGGGTTTAGGGATTAAGCACTTCCAAAGGCACGATCTTTGATCCACTCCTTTTGCCTGAAATTCCAGACCTGAACGAAACAGCTCGAACCTGGAAGGCTGTTTCGGGGGGTTTCGGGTTTAGGGTTTAGGGTTTAGGGTTTAGGGTTTAGGGTCAAGGGTCAGGGTTCAGGGTTTAGGGTCTGTTGGTTTGACTGAATCAGGGGTGTGAATAATGTAGGGGCCTAATTACTTACCTATACAGTTTTTCGGGGGCGGGGTCCTTATCATAATTATAACATATTAATGGGCCCCAAAGCCCTATGCTATAATTATTAAGGCCACTAGATTACTTGAGTATTTCTGGTGGATTGCAAGAGAGGGATCTTTTCAAGGGACCTTGGAAAGCCATCGGGTCCTGGACGGGAGAGGAAATCGATCCCGCTATAGACTCAACCGAATCCAAGTGCCCTCAGGAAAGTGCTGAACGCCTAGCTGAACTGGAGGATGCGTACCTGGAGACGGCCATTGACTTGCAAGCTCGTTTGAGAGCAGGCTACAGAACCACTGGCCGAGCGATACGCTATCCCTCCGTGTACGACTACGGTCAAAAAGCTTGGAAGAGAAGGCAACATTGGGCAGAAGGAACACCAGCCTGGGATCGACTTTCAGACGCCAAAAAGGCAGCTGCAAAGAGGATCGACTTCACTGTGTCAGAGAGGCCCTCTGACTACTTCAAACTTATGTCTCTTTTAGCAGACGACCACGGAACAGCTATGAAAGACCCAGTTCACTCCCAAACGAGCCTGAAGGAATCACTGAGGAGCGCTCCCTCAATGTTCGGAAACTGCCAAGATCCTGCAGACAAGGGGCTTATGCTGGTGTATCCTAAGCCGCCATCTTCTTTCCTAGGGTTACATAGAGACCCTCATCCCCAAGCCCTAAACCCCTCAACCCTAAACCCTCAACCCTCAAGCCTAAACCCTAAACCCTAAACCCTAAACCCCTCAACCCTAAACCCTCAACCCTAAGCCCTAAACCTAAACCCGAAACCAACCGAAATCCCAAGTCTTAAGCCTTAATCCACGGTCCCGAACCCTAAACCCTTAGGGTTTAGGGTTTAGGGTTAACGGAAGCATATTCCATGGTCCCGAACCCTAAACCCTATTTCCTACTTGGAGGTTCATGTGTAGTTCTAAGTGGGGTTATACGTGCGGTACCTATGCTACAATTAGACCCCAGATTAGGGGACTGACCCTAAACCCGAAACCATAAAGCCTAAGCCCTAAACTTACAACCCGGGTTTAGGGTCTAGGACTTTTAGGGTTGAAGGTTTGGGGTTTAGGGGCCCAGAAAGTTAGAGAACTACCCTTATCAAAGAAACCCTAAAGGTACCCCTATAGATCCCTTTAAAGGGAACCCTGATAGATCCATTCAACGGACCCTATCGATGCAAACCCTAAGCCCTAAGCCCTGAGCCCGAAGCCCTAAGTCCTAAGCCCTAAGCCCTAAGCCCTAAACCCTAAACCCTAAACCCTAAACCCTAAACCCTAAACCCAAGGTCACGCAAGCCCGCTCCGCCCTGAAAGCCCTGGCGATGGCTGCGCAGAATCCCGGAAGCGATTTTTG